AATAGATACCTTATGTACACACTTACAGGGCACCTATATCTGTCCCTTTCTCTCTCTCTCCCTCTCCCCGCCGCCTCTAGAAATACAACTTTCTTTCCCCTGTTTAGGTAAATCTTTGCAAGGTTGCACAGGCCCTCTGGAACAGCGAACAATCTGAAGAAACGGAAATATGTCCAGAGCTGGAGTGGACAAATGAGTGTCAGTACCTCACTTGTACCCAGAGAAAGGGAAGGTGGAACTGTGGCCCTGAAAACATGTTTTGCCTTATTACTGACCTATTTCTAGTAAGATCTGAACTGGCATCTAAGGCCTAATGATACTGATATTCACTTTTGACAGCAATGGAACTTTTCTTTAAAACATAAAAGTTCTTAAAGGACTGACTGCTTTTTGTTACTGTAATGAGCCAGGGTGTATTTCATGGCCCTAAAGAAAAGATGAAGTTTTAGTCTCAAAGATGGATCATTGCTGTTCACACCAATCATTGCTGTTCATACCAATATGAGATTTTCTGATAATGTTGTTTTTAGCTACCAAGGATTCGCAAATTCCATATTTGATTGCCATACCCAGCGGTTGCTTAACTTTCCCCCCCCCCCTTTTTTTTTTTCCTTTTAAATTGATCATAACTTTTCAAGACTTCCCTCTGTAGGGTTATATTAGGTGTTGCCTCATGAGGTCTTTTATCTTTTTATTCCTAGGACAGGCTATCTTTTCCTGGTTCCTAGGAAAGTTCTGTAGGACTTTGCTGGATGTCAAGAAAAATTAAAATACTTCTTGCTCTCACAGAAGTGCTAGACTGGAATAGTGCACTTAACATTGAATATCTCTACCTCAGAAATAGAAAGAAACCGGGTTGGGGGTGAAATAAAGACAGATTAATGAGAAAAGAGTTAATATATTCATAAGTCAGTTTGTACGAGACACTTGCTCTCACTTTTGGCATTTGAAGATTGGTGGTGTGATCCCCTAAGAGTTTTCCTAAGAAGGTGAGACTTTTGCATAGCTGTCACTGCAGCTGTGCGTTATCTGACAATATGTATTCAGAGAGTAACATGCATCTCAGGTTATGCAGCAACTGAAATATATGTATAGATAATAAGGATGCCAAACAGGAAGCTTGCAAGGTTCAAAATAATATTCTTTTTTTCAAACAACATTAAAAAAGTATTAGGGAAAATATATAAGCTCTTCTTGGCTTTCTTGCTAATTACATGTAAAGTGCAAACTATACTGACAGATACCTTTCAAGAGTTTTCAAAGTACAAATGCAAAGCACAGACTTCTAGTGACACATTAAGTATATAATGAAAGGACAATGGTAACAACAACATTTAAAAAGTCAAACCATGCCCCATTAAGTTTGATTGTGCTTTTCCTTTCATTTTGTTTTGTTGTTTTGCTTTGTTTTTTAAAGTTGCTTAATAAGAAAGAAGTTATATTACTTTGGAAATTTTCATTTAAAAGGATACATCTTTAGGATAGACATAGCATCAGAAATTTCAACCTCCACAAAATATTTTTGAGAACTTTATTAATAACCCAGATAACAATTTCTATTGGAATGCTCCAGTTAGCCTTGACTGCAGTGTGACCACAAAAAAAATAGTACTGTTCAGAAAACCTTTTGGCAGAGCTATGCTTTCACTGTAATTTTCAGGTGCATTTTTCTTTTTATTGCTACTGTATTTAACAGTTTATCATGCATAATTTTCTCTACAGCTGGTATTTTCCAGGTCTGCTTTATTTCAAGTGAGAGAACTGAGTAAAAGCAGTAGAAAACTTCAGAAAAATTAATTTGTTTTTAACTTTGCACCATTTTTCTTCATTTTTTTTTTCTCATCTTCTTGTAAGGAAATACGAAGTCTGACACTTCAATGTTTATCTTTTGCATATAAATGCCTGGCAAACGAATATACAAGTTGAAATACCAAGTGAAAAGTGTTTAAAATAAGAACTGGCTGACTGCTTTCTTTAAAACATTCACTTTTAATCTATCGGTAACAAAAAGTAGTACCAACTTAGGAAATACCATCTATGAAAAGCCTTTGGGTAAATTATTGTAAAACAGCGTGACTCATATTTGCAGAGACTAAATAAGCAACAGCCTCTATTAACAGTTCATATGGAAACTGGGATATAAAATATTCTAGAAACATTGCCCACAGCGTAAGAGTTTATTAAACTGAACATTAAAGTAGAAGAAGAGGCAAAAAAAACCCCAAACCAACCAGGGGGTGAGAAAGAAAGATGATCAAACTAAAAAAGAAAAGGGAATAAAGTTGTTATAATTACTTATAAAATGTAAGCATTAAAGTATGCTTCATGAGGCAGCAACCTGGTAAATAATTCACCAAAGGTGGCATACTGTAATACTTTAAAAAGAAAAGTCTCACCGTATCTGTCTTGATTCTTCCGCTAATGAAAAACTACAGAAAGTTACTTTGACCATTAATGTTCTAGCCTGCTCTTCAACTTTAGCAGCAGAAAAAACTTTCAAGAACATCAACTAAAGAGGAAAATCTAGTTTCTTGAAATAATGATTTTTATTTCAGTGGCAATAGGCAGATTTCAGATTTCTGTCACCTACGGATCTGTCGATCTAGGCTGAGATTTTGAAAACCATCATGTTGTACATTCTTACACCTTTGGGCAACACTGATTTTTCCATCAAGATTTTTCTCCTTTGACTTCTCAATACCAAGACACCTTCACATCACACCATCTTGTCTTACACCAAGAAAAGTAGAAATGTAAAATCAAGATAAAAAGCCTAAAGGACAACTTCAGATATCAGGTTGAGGCAAAATATTTTCCACGTAAAGGCTTTGATAAGGCAGTTGTTCTACCAAAGAAGATTCTTCATTTTCGGGAAAATAATTTGTCTTACTTGGAAAATTGTTACTCTTACTGCCAATTTGGCCAAAATATTTTAATTCCTAAAAGGCAATGAAGAGAGCTTGACTTTGCCAGACCTGAAACGGCACCATGCCAAACTTTTCTGAGAGGTGAGCACAAACCAAGACATCAAAGGTTTTCAAAGTCTAAACCCTGCCTCAGCTGAACAAACAAAATCTATAAAGAGGAAGATTTAAACTTGATGAGACAAGTAAAAATTAAAATTCAAAACAAAAATCTACCTGTGATTTTCAGGATGGATCATTTTCAGTCTTAATCTCAGTGACTTCCTGGACTGCAGTTACACAGTCCTGTCTGTCCCCCTGGGAAAGTCTCCTTCATCCCATCAGCTCCAAGTCTGGGTCTGGGTCTCTGCTGTTCTTCCTAGGGACCTCCCAGTTTCCCACCGCAGGCCCTTTCTCACTGTCCTTTCCCTTCCCTGTCACATCCTGCACCTAGAGCTATTTTGTAGGTTATACATGTTCAGTTCGTTTCAGGCTAAAAACACCCTTACCCTAGAAGGGACCAGCTGACAGCCACCTTTTTTCTCTGCTGCTTCAACACATCCTCTTAGCGTACACATACATTGAACTGAGAGAGAATTAAATGATTGTATCGCAATCCCATTCTTCTCTTAAGCTTTAGATGTATAAGAAAAATAGGAGGAAGAGGTTTTGTGCTTAGTTAATGTCTTTTAAAGAAAAATATTTTGCGGCGAGAACCCTCTGGAGGATTTTTGTTTGTTTATTCTTAGAAAAATAGCCTAGTATTTTGGAAATGAAAGGACATTTTTTTAAAATCCTGTTCTATAAAAAATACAAGATTAAATTAACCGGTATTAAGCTGGCAGCTAAATCCCTGCATAGGAAACCAAAGATAGTATTTAACTGTCAACTCAATTCCAAAGAGATACACTTAATTACATAAAATTAAGTCAGACAGTCAGTAAAATGAAATAGATCCCTGGAGAGCTGCTCTGCTGTGCTAACATTTGCACCATACTCTTGCAATAGGAGCAGAATCCAGTTTTCTTAACTGTGAAACTGCTTGTTCCAAAATGTATCCACTTACACTAAACATATATGGTATACACAACATTGATCATGTAGGTGCCTAAGGAAAGTTTTCAACAACTTCCTAAGCCAGTAATCTGATGTCTGTGACAATTACATGGGGTGAGTACTCTCGAAAGAGAGGCCTGTTCTTGTCAATTTACCTAAAAGTGGACTGATATCAAACATTTAATGAACACAAAGCTTCAATCCTGTTAATGTTAAGGCTCAGAACTAGTTTCATTATCTGTATATCGACGTCACTCAAGTTGCTAACAGACGTAGGATTATATAACAGTGTTTACAGTTTTCATGTTTGTATTTGTTTAATTTGTCCTTATACGACATTTATTACTTTTTAAACAACTGATTACTTCTTGGCATAATTTTTATAAACAAAGGGTGACCACAATGCAATATCTGCATGCAGATGAAAGCAAACTTCATAGTTCTTCTAATACATGGACCAGACAGTATGGCTAGGTTTTCAAAACTACTGTCTCATTTCTTTATGCCCTATATACCACACATGCTCATGTCCATGGACTGTGATTTGCAATATGGTTCAGTCTAAGTCTTTTCTTAACACAGGGTCAATTGACTTTTTCCTTCTGTCTTCCTGCTTCCCTTCCTTTTTCCCAGCTTCATTGGACAAATATTTACAATATGTTATGTCTTGATGCCTTGACTTGTTTTCACTAAATATGCTAACGGGAAATTTTTAATCAACTTTCAGACCTGAAACAAGTCTCCCATTCCTTGGATTTGTAGTGGCATAGTAGTTACATGCTCTGCCAAAAATATTGTTCAGGTAATGGACCCAAAAAACTTTAGCACAAATTGATATTAATGTCCCATTCAATAATTATGACAACTGGGGGGGGG